TTTCTAATGGTAGTAAAATCATCAAAATTAGCCTGATGGATCGTGAGATATTCCTATTTTTGTCTTTACAATTATATTTGCAAATGTGAAAAGAAATTTCATATAACTACAAAGACAAATATAAGAATATCTCATGATTAATCAGGCCAATTTTGATAATTTTACTACCAATAGAAAGAGAAAAATTGCCTCTACGAGTTTTGTTAGAAATACAAAAGATGTTAACTTGACAGAATTTGAGAAATTTTAATTCCGGTTCCAGATTATTGATAGATATAGTATTATATACTATAGTAAATCTTTCCATCTTACTATATAATTAATAATTTATTAATTAAAACTAGATTTGCTTGTACTATACTAAATATGTAAAAAAGATATTTATTAGTAAATTTTAATATACGGTATATTATACTATATATATATATATATATATGGGTATAATCAGCCATATATATACGTATACAAAAATAACTGATTATGGACTAACCCGAAAAGACATTTAAAAAAAGTAAATTATAAGTGTCATTGGTGAGCCGCGTGCATTTTATGTATAACTATAAACATTAACAACTATTTAAAAACAGTGGATATCGACTACTTTGTCCGGTACAGTAGTACGGTAGTGCACTAAAGACCCGGGTAATACAAAATAACTAACCAAAAAACTTACAAAATATCTGAGCAATTGTAAAGCAGCAGCTCTAAGTCGCAGAAAATTTTCAAGCACATATATAGTAGAGATCCGTGTTTTACAGCGCCTATGGTAATAAATAGTATTGGAGTTTAAAAACTAGCCGGAGTTCTTAGTTACGTATACGTAATAATAATGCTGTATATAATATGTAATAGTAAGTTTAACAAAAAACGGATTAATCGGATGCAAAATCAGATCAGATTTGGCCAAGAGTCTGTATACCCAATATATATAATTTTATTTTTAGAATTGACGTATTTGGATTTATTTTTAGATTATGTACGTACATACGTACGACATGCATTTTCCGTTTTTTTTTTTTTTTTTTTTTTTAAACCGATAAATTCTAGAAATTCTAGAATTAAATTATAGATTTTTGTTTGAGATATTTCATGTCTTCTATGATACGTTGTGGAGTGGTGATTAGTAAATAGGTAGATATATAGAAAAGAGCAATAAAATTGGTTAATATCGTCTTACTACAGTATTACAGTATATATTATAATTGTAACCTGCCATAATCACGTGATAAATTCGATCACCGCGTGGAATTTAAGTGAGCCACTACAAGCCATAGTAATGCAAAATATTAAATTCTCGAGTTCTTTTTGTCAAGCAGATATAAGATAATGATTCGGCCGAATCGATATGCAGATATACTCAAATTTGTTAAATTTGTTCACTGAAGTGCGAAATAAACATTAAATGCCAATGACATTTTCGCGAAAATTATAAACACTTGTTTATATTTGCCGAAATATTCTTTTTACCATAATGGCTGATCCGATGGAAATTGTAACCATTGATTAACCAAAACATACTAAACTTATTATGCCCGTTTCATTGACTTAGCGAACACTCTTTGCAGTTTTTTTATCATTACATAATCCAAAAAAATTTTATCACCAAATTTGATATATTGATATTTATGGTCTTGTTTGTTTACAAGCCACATGCGAGAAAAAAAATATATATAATTAATGCCAATTTCATTTTTATTTTATCGACTTGAAAGTTTTTTTATCAGCTTTCAATTTATTGTTATTTCATCACATTGTCCAACTCAGTTGTCAGTCCTTACCCTTTCTAACTTTGGATCAACGTTTTTCGCTCAATATTCCAAGAAAAATAAAGCAAAATATAAAAGATATGCACATTTTTTTTATATCAAAGAATCCAATTATAATATTTATAAGCTTTCTCCAATGAATTATGACATAAGTTGTTTATATACAAGACTTAACCTTTTAATATATGCCACAAAGTTATCAGACTAAGAAATCGCTAAAAGTGCATTATGCAATTAATATAAGTAAATGAGTTTAAATTATAACCGTTCCTCGAAACCGTTAATTTTATATATAGTATTTATTTACGTATTAAAAAAAAAAAAAAAACATTCTAAACTCTTTTTTTTTTTTTCTGTGCCTCGTGCCTTAATTACAAAAATAATGTTTAATTTTAGACTTGACTCGAAACTTATTTGCAACATGCATTTAATTTGACCAGTCGGTTTATTAGAAAAAAATTTTTTTTTTTGTGACTCGATTTTCATCATTGAGTCAATTGAGTCACACCGCACAATCTCGCAAGTGTCCCATAAGATAGAAATTTGTGGGATGCGCTTAATTGAACTATTTTTTACGCACTTGTGTCTTTTTTTTATATTGACATATAATATTTGGGGTAATTCGTTATTTTAGAGGTCGTTTTGTAAGCGGAAACACCTAATTAATCATTAAGAAAGAAAAAAAAGTCACGGGTAAATTTCCGTTTTCTCTTTTACCGTTGTGGCGCAGTATGCTCTCATTTATAGTACGGCTATTTTTATCTTTGGCAATCGATTTAATTCCATACTGTACCACTTCCCTGCTTAGTAAAAAAAAAAAAACCATTGTCGTACGACAAGTTTATGAAAGTTCTACGTAAAATGTGGAATGAGGTAATAGAAATATAACATACCGATACATAATAATAAAATAATAACGATAATAAATAATAAATACACGTGTTTTTGTGTGTGTGGCTTTGTTTATAGTAAAATATTACCATATGATATCGAATGCTTTTACTAATAAGGAAATTCATTCAGTACGATCTTTTAGTGCCAGATCGGCTTCGCGCAGTTTCGAATGACGCGCGATCGAAGGGCTTCGATCAATTCCAAGTAATATGTCAAGGTTGACGTTATCTGATGTTATTTAATGTTATTTATTATTATTTGATGTTATTTGATGTTTAGTTTCAAAAACATTAAGTAAAAAAAGCAGTCTTTCTTTCAAAGTCTTTCCTTAAAAATGCGCCTTGATTTGTTTTGTATGTCTTCGTGGGCTTCTAGTTCATTCTAATTTAACAAAAGAAAAAGTTCTCGTAATCGTAAGTGATTATTCGTACATGTCATCATATTATTATTACAATTTTAATAGATCTATTTGACAAAATATAAAGCCTTATTTAATCATTTAATGAACCCAACATTAGTGTACACGTCAGTTCATGGAATTGTCTTTCATAATTTTAAAGATTGAATGTTGTTATATTATTAAAAAAGACCTTTCCACGTCAGTAATGACATGGATGGAAATTAACTGTCATTTGTTTTTTGACTATTTAAACATGTCATTTGATAGATGAAACGTGTACCGTTTCTTAAAGTAAATATAAAAAGACAATTTTTTTTTTCTTGTTAAATTCAAATTTCTTTATACTTTCTTTATACATATCTTTTCTCAAACCTTTCAAGCCTTGTTAAATCTTTTTTTCAATGTCTTCATCTTCAACTCTCGCAAAACGTCCTCCTAGTCCAACTGACAAAGAAGACGTGAAGAAGAAAAAAAATATTGACGCGCAATACGCTCTAGAACTAAAACTATCTGAACAGCCTGAACGTCCAAGTATCGGATCTTCCGGAAGAAAAATTAGCGTTAAAACTAACTATTTAAGAGTTCGTACAGTAAGTTAAACGTAATTTTATATTATTAATTTAAAAAAACTGGCATTATGCTATGATTTTTATTAATTGCTTGATTTTTTCATAAAAAGCTTCCCAGTGGTTCCCTCCTTCATTATAGCTTTGTCGTGGTACCTGATGTAAAGACCCCTTTAAAGACAAAGATTTTTTCTCAATTGGCATCTCAAGGAAGTTTTGGAAACACGTGTCCCGTATTTGATGGAAATAGCGCTATCTATACGTGTGTTCCCTTGCCAATTGGTGATGAAAAAGATACTTCAAACATTCAGGTTAATAAGCGCAAAGCATTTTAATATATTAAATAAATACATATTATATTTAAGATATTATATATGATACTATATAAATATATTTCTTATATAGATAACATTACCGGCTGAAGGTCGAATGAAAGAAAAGACATTTCTCGTAACGATTCGTAAAGTAGAAAATATAGAAATGGATCGACTCATGGAATACCTTAAGGAAAAATGTTTAATGACAAGTCAAATTCCAACTTGTATTACAATTCTTAACACTGTGTTAAACTATGGTCCAAGAAAAAGTTATGCTGTCGTGAAACAAGGAATTTTTCCTAGTGACCTTAAAGAAAGTTCTATAGTTTTGGCTGGTGGTATCGAATTGAAGATAGGATTTTGTCAAACTATGCGACCAGGATGGGGTATGTAGATATATATATATATATTAATCATATATAATGATTCATTTTAGCTGATTTTTTTTTACGCTATTATTAGATAAC